TATACTGACATCCTGGGTCTACATGTGTCACAATATATAGCTACGTTGTATACTGACATCCTGAGTGCACATGTGTCACTATATATAGCTACGTTGTATACTGACATCGTCTGTGCACATGTGGCACTTTGTATAGCTACGTTGTATAATGCCACCCTGGGTCTACATGTGTCACTATATATAACTACGTTGTATACTGACATCCTGGGTGTACATGTGTCACTATATATAGCTACGTTGTATACTGACATCCTTGGTGTACATGTGTCACAATATATAGCTACGTTGTATACTGACATCCTGGGTGTACATGTGTCACAATATATAGGTACGTTGTATACTGACATCTTAGGTGTGCATATGTCACTATTTATAGCTACGTTGTATACTGACATTCTGGGTGTGCATGTATTACTATATATAACTACGTTGTAAACTGACTTCCTGGGTGTGCATGTATCACTATGTATAGCTACACTACTGCCTTGAAGTTCATTCCCCTTACACGCATGGGCAACGCGTTATGCAACCCGTGTGCACCCCGTTGGTCACTCGAACCCGTCCGCCACGCGTGTGATACCCGTGTGCAACGCGTGACACACTCATTAGAGGGAGAACAAACTTTTGTCCAAAGTAGGATCCATGTCTAGCTGAACCTGGACGTTCTCTAGAGTTTATTTCCTCCAAGTTTCAGGCCATAGGCTCATAGAACATACATGATATCAATAAAGTGTATGCATAAATACATGAAATTAATATAATACATAAATAATATATCAGTGAATTGTGAGTGACTCGCGTAATCTAAAAGCGTGGTAGATATATTTAGCAAGTTGTGTAATAGTGTATTTACATTTCGAAGACATAAGATTTACAAATTTTTCATATGATGGATTTGTTTGAAAATATGTATCAATAAAATGTAAACGTAATGTTGAATATGAAGTACAAATAAGAAGGAAATGATATTCATTTTCAATGTAGTTGAAGTCCAATTCTTGACATTGTGGGCAAAATCTTTTGTTTTCTTCTATATTGGTATGATTTTCCAGTTTCGATCATAAGTTTATGGCAGCTGCATCGGAATCTTGTTAGGGTTTCTTTATAGATCTTCTTGTTTACTTCCTGAAGGTACATTTCTATTGTTAATACCGATTTGAAAGTTAAATATGTTTTAAGTTTTGATTTTTGAGATAGGTTTTCAGTCCAACGTTGTTGACCACAGTCCACGATACGTTCGTTTGAATTGTGAAATGAATATTTGCGGATCTCCAAAATCTTGAATTATCCAGGCGTAGCCAAATCCATACTTGAAAAGAATGTTTTTTCATATATCTTGCCCATGATATACGGCCAGCTTCATCTAATTTGTACATCATTAAATACGTTTGCTTCGGTAGACGATCAGTGTTCATAGAGATTAATTTTGTCCAATATTTAATACAGTTACTAATATAATACACATATAATCGTTGTTTTCCAGTTTCACCAAGAACAGCGTCATTGCTTGCATTATTTGGTAGGTTATAATAAGAATCCGTTTGTAATATTTAGTCTGTACCATCTCTATAGTTTCGTAGTATTTGAACCCCCAAACTTCAGAGCCATATGTTAATATTGGTAAAACCATGGATTCGAACATCTTGATTGCGGTAGTGATTGGTAATCCTCCACATAGAAAGTTTATTTTATAGATAAAATGACATACTTTTTCTGCTTGTTGTGCAAGTGTTGCCGTTGCTTTTGTCAATAGCAATTTAGCAGTGAAAAATAGTCCCAAATATTTATAAGATAAAACAGTCTCTATCTTTTCTTCTCTGTAAGTCCAATTTTCATAGTTCCTTAAACGTCCACCATTTCTAAAAACGATTATCTTTGATTTGTTCATATTTAGAGACAGTCCCCATTTTTTACAAAATTCACTTATACAGTTGATCTGTTGTTGTAATCTTCCAGTGGTATCGGCAGTGTTGGCAACATAATCGGCGTATAATAAAGAACAAATATTTGGTGCTTCTTCTGAGATGAATATTCCACGACAGTCAGATTGATTTAGTTCGTTGACCAATTCATTTATAAACAGGCAAAATAGTGTCGGGCTGATCTTGCATCCTTGTCGTGTTCCAATAAAACAGTTTAAATATTCAGTTAAACCATTATCAGTTCTCACACAAGCTTTTAGTTTTGAATACATATCTCGTAGAATTTTTAGAACGTTTCCATGGATACCATATTTCATAAGCCGATGCCAAAGCAATTTATGGTGAACACAGTCAAACGCTTTACTGAAGTCAATGAAGAGACAATAAAATCTTCCACCGGTTGATTTTGATAGGTATTTCTGTATCATTCCATACAATGTGAAAATACTGTCGACTGTTGAGCTTCCTTTTCTAAAACCAAAGTGGTTTTCATATAATAAATTATTGTCATCACACCATAGCTGCAGGCGTTCGTTGATAATTTTTGTGAATATTTTCCACCAAACGGGTAATAAAGAAATGCCTCTATAATTATTCACACTGTTCGTATCTCCATCTTTATACAGCGGACATATAACTGTTCTGCACCATGATTCCGGATAAACACCTGATTTCATTATCTCGTTAAACAGATGCACACATATAGGAACAATAATATCCAAAGAATTCAGAAATAGTTCAGAAGAGATCCCATCGCATCCTGGTGCTTTATTTGATTTCATGTTGATAATGGCTGTCTTCACTTCATCACTTGATATCTCTCTGTTTACGTCTTCAGGCGATCCACGTTCACAAGCCTCGCATACATCATTGTCATGCTGTGATATGTCTGATTTTACTAAATCTTCCATAGATGACTTCGAACTGGGAGAATTTAATAGATTCTGGAAATATGAAAACCATCGCCAAGAACTGATACTGTTTGTTTTCCTGCAACATTTTATTTTCTTGATTTCCTTCCACAGTTTGTTGTTGTCACTTTTTATCTCATTAAATCTATCTCTGAGTGAAAGGGCAGCATTTAATTAATGAGAGTAGGTTATATCAAGGAGGATACACTTGTGGGAGAGGGTTCTACTAATTACTAATTACCGATCTTCACGGGTACATAACCGTATTAAAGACAGTGGTAAAGGTTAGTGGTAGATTTCCAGATTCTTGGAACCTTGGGTTGCTTGTATCCGCAGAGCTCTAGATTTTCTCTATTTTAATTGGGTTATTACACTTTCATTGGGTAACCAATATTTTTTCACCCGTCTATTCATCACTGTATTGGGTTTTTCCCCAAATAAGTAAACATTTTAAGATTAAAATTATTTTTTTAGATGTACATAGAGTAAAGTACAGTTGTAACGAACTCAAAGGGACTACTAATATTAGTCCGTTATAACCGTAGTTCGTTATAAGCATATACACAGCATAACTACAGCAAATAGTCGGGACGAAAAAAGTACTCAAAACAGGTATAAAGACGGCCCGAACAATTATAAACAGATAGCACCCTTAAATACACTTAACAAAATATTTACCACAACCCTAGACAATCGTATAAAATCTTGGATATCGACAAAACAATTGTTATCAGGATGTCAAGCGGGATATAGAGAGAGTTACGCTACCACCAATCATGAACTTAGCCTTCACATCCTCGTACATAAGTGTTTAAGTAAGAAAGGTGAAAAGTTTAATTGTTCCTTTGTTGGTTTTAATAAAGCCTTAGATTATGTTTTTTGTTGTTTGTTATTTAACGCTGCACTCAGCAACATTCAAGCTACATGACAGCGATCTACGCAATTGGGAAACCATGCCATGCATCAACCAAGTCAGCGAGCCTGACCACCCGATCCCGTTAGTCGCCTCTTACAGCAAACACGGGTTGCTGAAGACCTATTCTTTACCCGGATCTTTACGGGTCCCTTCATTTATGTAGATACCGATCGGATGCACTTTTAGTTCGATCGGATGCACTTTAAGTTCGACATCCATTACACGATGACGTACAGCAGCTTGAAATACAGATACCAGGGACATGCTTCACAAAGTAATTATTAAAGTAATATGACCGTATCCTCAAAAGGATTCAGAAATGTTTTCAAATGGTAATCCCATCAAGGTAGTAGAGAAGGCCATATTCCCGAACCTCAGATTTGACCGTCATCTCACATTCCTACCACACATCATATATCTGCTTAAATGCCAAACTGATATTAACTGACTGGTTGAAAGTACAATTGTAAACTTTCAAAGTAAAGAAGGTAAAATAAACATATTAGTTTGTTACAGATAAATCATACTGTTTCAGCTACTACATATGTACTTATGTAGAAATCCTATTGACACATCATATAATATTTAGCATTCACAACAGGTGTTGGGTGTGTGGGGGGTGGGGGGGGTGGGGGGGGGGTGGGGGGTGGGGGGGTGGTTAGTCCAGATCAAAGGTTCGCTCGTCATGCCGAAGGATAAAGGACCGGTTTGGATTCCCTACAGGTTACACACAACCAAATGTTTTCCCAAAGACTTCTATAGTAACGTTATATATTTTTTTTAAAATAACTAAGCATTCAACAGCTATTGCCTGTACGTGTGTGCACAGTTTGGCCTTAGAGCAGCAATAAAAAAAGTAAAGAATGACTACCTTAGCCAGCTCCTTTTCCGAGTACAAGAAGCTAAACACACCAACCCCAGTTTCGCACCAAATGTAACCTACTTGAAAATAGCTGTGGTCACATTCAGCATAAGTCATCATGTTGAAAAAGAAAAACATGGTCAGTTTTAATAACTTGATGGATGTACATTTGAAATACATCAAAATCTTACAGAATATCCTCCAATCACAGCCTGCAGATATCTCTCGATCTGCACTGAAGGCTCCTACGATTCTGATTTGGTGTAGTAGAACCTACAAGGGTATAATGTGTGAAGTCCATTTCTTTTTTTTCCCCGTCATTGATATTGCGGGAATATTGCAAGAAAAGCGGTGTAAAGCCATACTCACTTACTCACTCACTCTCTCACTGCAGAAAAGTGGACATAAAAAGATACTCGGAGACGTTTTAATGGGTAACATGAATATATTGACCATGTATACCTATTTCCCAAGAATATCGTGCATGTGGTTTTACAGAGACCAACACCGGTGAAAAGTTGCATCCCAGGTAATAAAAGACTGGTTGTTTCAAGCATGATACAATTCACGAGGTGATGATTTGGCTGGCCCCCAGGTTATTGAAGGTTTCAAGGATCTCTTGAATCTCTGCAATAGAAGAATGACAGGAATCAACTCTTCCACCAACTATTCAAATAATGATTCCAAGTACAACTCCTGCACTGTCATTTCTAGAATTCCCCAAACATTCACTACATACATGTACCAACACGTATTTCGTCTGTCATGTGATAACGTTCGATTTGATGAAATGCATGCCTACGACAACCGCATGCCATATTCAAGTACCTTGTATTTGCAATGTAATAACATCATTTCTAGTTTGGAATATTAAACGTTAACGCCAGATAATAAGCAAGCTCGACCAGCCAATGATTCCATTGAGCGTAAAAATTCAATGAGCAGTGACAGTAATTTAAATTGACCTCTGAACATCAGTGATGACACCATGTGTTCACGAAACGGATTAGCATGTCCTGCTCTACAGGCAGCACCCGTCACTCACATTTTGAATAAAAACGCACATGCAGCATAAATTGTGCCATAAAGTTCTACGCCTTTACAAACAATCAACGCTTTTATGATATCAGTCCCGATTGGGGCAGGTACGTGACATAAACCGTTCGAAGGCACCATCCCTCTAACCACCTTAAAAAGAAATTTGAATGCACTCCTAGTTGACTTTAATACTTTTCATTTGGCAAAAAATCATGTCATTTGTAGTGCGACTTCAAAACAGAAGGGCCCGGCTTCATTTCACATTCATGTACCTCCTTTTGGTTTTGCATATTTCTCGTACAAACACAGGAGGTTAGTTCAGCAAACAACTTGAATTTGCTTTTACTCAAAAGCATTTGTCTCTCTCCTCCATTTGTAATACATTAGTTAAAGTTGTTACTGTAGATTTTTACAGGTTACAGGTTTTAGTCACCATTGATCAACTGGCCGATCATTGACAGCTGATTAAAGATGTGTCAAATAGACACTAAGGTGAATTCACAGACTGCTGTAGACTGTCACTCTCAGCCTAGATACGGATCGAGTCGATACTACGATAGTTTGGAAATGTCTTCGTTTTGTTCATTCGGAGGGGTCGTAGCAAGAATATTCGTGAACAATCATGCAGTCAAACCGATCTCTCGTCCAATGGAAAAGCTGTATATCGTGTAAACTTCAAATTAAAAACTTATGATAGTTTTGAAGTGCATTTCTTCGTTTTGCTCACAAGGATGGGTCACGGCGAGGATATTCGTGAACTATAATGCAGTCAAACTCTCTGACGTTTCTCAATGTTTACTGAAACGCCGAGTTCAAGATTAAAGGGTCTGAATATTCAGAAAGAACGCTTTTGTATGTATTCCTGCTCTGGAATGTGGAAGTTTTGTGTCGTTCATACACTTATGAATGACAATTTCGCGGTCATGTGACCGACATCTCATCCAATCGAAAAGCCGTATATCGTGTAAACGTTAAATTAAAAAAATATATATAAGTAAATACTTTTTAACCTTGTAAATTTTGTTAACATCCTAACACATTGTTCCTGTTTCGTGCGCCCATCGTGGTGTATTCTCGCTGCAGTGTTTAATTTTACGATAAATGTCACTGTCCTGTTAGGTACCTGCACTATGGTTCCTTCCTCTCTGTAGATGGCCACAAACATCATTACAACAAATGGAACACAGGAAATGCTTGCAATAGTCCAACCAATGGTAGCAGCGTACTCGGGGTAAACATAGCTGCCATACGTCGGAGGCGCGTACTTCATCAGAGTTGAGATGAATACTATCTGAAACGCCAAACCAATATTAAAGTTGGTTGGTTGGTTTGAGAAGACGACTAATCCGGCAAACAAACTTGTTCCTCCACACACCAATGTACATATGACTGCATTCCTTTGGCATAAACGTCAATTAATAATTACATATGTTTGTTTGTTTGTTGTTTAACGCCGCACTCAGCAATATTCCAGCTATACGACGGCGGTCTGTAAATAATCGAGTCTGGACCAGACAATCCAGTGATTGATATCATGAGCATCGATCCACGCAAATGGGATCCATGACATGCATCAACCAAGTCACCGAGCCTGACCACCCGATCCCGTTAGTCGCCTTTTACGACAAGCATAGTCACCTCTTACGGCAAGCATTGGTTCCTGAAGACCTATTCTACCCCGAATCTTCACGGGTGCAATATTAAAGATTAATATTAGGTTTATATATAAAAAAAAGATTTTTAGGTCGTATAAACACATGACCTACATTTGAAAACTGGCCATACTTTGTCTAATGCTCACCAACAACATTGTGGGTGTGATATAACGCCACGTGACTTTGAAGAACCACGGAGCCGGTCTCCCTATCATCAGCTCAATATCTGCGCTGAGACGATTCACTCCTAATAAAAACAAATATACTCATTCATACGAACTCTAAAAACATGATATTTGTAAAATGATGTTGAAATGAAGTATTTTGTCTGTTTGTTGTTTAACGCCGCACTCAGCAATATTCCACTTGTATAAAGAAGTGGCCCGTGAAGATCCGGGGTAGAATAGGTCTTCAACAACCCATGCTTGCCGTAAGAGGCCACTATGCTTGTCGTAAGAGGCGAGTAACGGCATCGGGTGGTCAGGCTCGCTGACTTGGTTGATGCATGTCATCGATCCCAAATGTGTGGATCGATGCTCATGATGTCACTCACTGGATTGTCTGGTCCAGGCTCGATTATATGCAGACCGCCGTCATACAGCTGGAATATTGCTGAGTGCGGCGTTAAACAACAAGCAAACAAACAAACAAAAAGTTGTTCGAGTATGTTCACTGTACAAGGGAGATAATTCTATGGCCATACAACTTCTCTACTTCAGTGAATGTGACGTTTCGGTGTGATGTTTGACGTCGCATTCATTGTAGTACATCACCTGCTTGATAACTTTGTTAGTATCTACACCAAAACGTCGTATTCGTTGTTGTAAAGAAGTTGTATGTGCATAGCACTATTTCCCTTGTTCATCATACAAACATATAAGACCGCCTCCGTGGTCCAGTGGTAGAGCGTCCGCCCGGAGAGCGGAAGGTCCGGGGTTCAATCCCCGGCCGCGTCATACCAAAAGACGTTAAAATATGGTACTTGTTGTTATACTGTCTGGCGCACGGCATTAAAGGGGTAAGTATACTGTGTCTGATAGGGGTATTCATGTGAAACTGCGGCATGGTATCTCAGTGAGCTAGCACTATAAATCGGCATCAGTCCGTTCTAGTACAAGCAGCCACATACAAAGCCGCACTATATAAGTGCAATAATCTTGGACGCGACGTTAAACCCCATTTCATCTCACCTCACTAACTTATGAATGCCACAGAAGAAATGTTCACCGAAAACATATAATCATAAGAGTGAACTAACTAAAAATAGTAAAATATATCATTTAGTTGTTTACCGTATATCCACCCGAGTGTAATGCATTCCAGGAACCCAGCAAAGATGATGAATAGAGTGGCAATATACCAGTCTTCAAGCTGGTACAGGTACATTCCGCCCTGAATGGACATAATGAAATATTTTAATAAAAAACATTATTTGTGAAATATAGCATAAGGTTACATAGAGAAATTGTGACATATTTTAAAGAAGCGTGACTAATTTACCACACATTATTAATAGTTCAAATTGTGTCAGTGTTTCTTGGAAACATCCATCTAAAATGTTTATTATAATTCAAATTAACTCAGTGTCATTCAAACCTCAGTGGTGAATATAATTCCGATCAGAAAGGAACCGATGCAATATCCAAGATTTACTTGAGTTCTCCATTTCAGCAGAAAGGGATACTCATCCATGATTCCTGATATCACCGTTTCCACCATTGAAAACTAAAATACGAACAAATCACAAAACATTCAGTGATACACGTTTTTAAATAAAAATATGTATACAATGTAAAAATACACAATGTAGTTCCCCCTTGCACGTTTACGATAAAGCATAGCTTGGGGTACATACTTCAAACTCCTAATGGCTTTGTTTCAAAAGTGTGTGAAGTATCATTGTTTCATTTTTTGTGAAAAGTTTGTTTGTTTGTTTGTTTGTTGTTTAACGCCTCACTCAGCAACATTCCAGCTATATGACGGCAGTGTGTAAAATAATCGAGTCTGGACCAGACAATCCAGTGACTGACATCATGAGCATCGATCTACGCAATTGGGATCGATGACATGTATCAACCAAGTCAGCGAGCCTGACCAACCGATCTCGTTAGTCGCCTTTTACGACAAGCATAGTCGACTTTTATGACAAACATAGTGGCATTTTTGTGATAAGACAAGACTTACACTGAGGAGCAAAGGAAACTAAGCCTCTCAGTTGATTTTATCATATGTTTGATTTTCAATTAAAAATATCTCAAGTTAGCGCAATAGTGTCTTCAATATTTTACATTTTCTATACTTCTACATTTTTTCAAACTACAATCTTATTTGAAACTTTTTTTAAATTAAACAAATAGCACAAATACACAACAGCTGATGGCTATCTTAGAAATATATTTTTGAAAATCAACAAATTTGCTTTTCTTCGGCACAAATAAACATTAAAAAAATGGCAATGTTGCAAATTCTTTTTTACCCCAGTCTCCATTGAACCAATTTATTTTTACTTAACATGACACAGCCACATATTATTTTTTACAAACTATGGCACGAATGAGTGATGGCTATATGGACATTATCAAATTTAACGACAGTTCTTTCAATTTCAAGTACATAAAAAACCTGTGTATACCTTTTTCACAGTTTCTGCCATTGAAAACTAAATAAGCGTACAGAACATAATACATAAAACGTAAATCGCCATAATAACCTTACTTATTATCCGCCGAAACAGATTCAATTGAGAGGATTTTGGTTGATGGTTTGTTGTTTAACGCCGCACTCAGCAATGTTCCAGCTTTATGACGGCGGTCTGTAAATAATCGAGTCTGGACCAGACAATCCAGTGATTGACATCATGAACATCGATCCGCGCAATTGGGATCGATGACATGCATCAACCAAGTCAGTGAGCCTGACCACCCGATCCCGTTAGTCGCCTTTTACGACAGGCATAGTCGCCTTTTACGGCAAGCATGGGTTGCTGAAGACCTGTTCTACCCCGGAATCTTCACGGGTCTCAATTGAGAGGAAAGGGTAAGATAACGGTGACAGTTATATCAATGGATCATTTTTAATTATTCCTTGAAGCACCTTGTTATTTACAAGTACATAAATCTACATATAAATGTAGTTTTCCATTTGCTGGCAAGAAGAAAACAAGGTAAACTTTTGTTTCAGACATTGAATGGTAATAATTTCAAAAAAACCTCCTTCTCACCAGTGAATCCAATATCAACAAAATAAGCATGATAAAGAAGAGGAAGCTCCATAGCTGTGGAACAGGAAGTTGTGCCAAGGCTTCTGGGTAGACAACAAAGCCCAACCCTGGGCCTGGAACAAATATTTATGTCTTGGTTTAGAGTGAGTGAGTGAGTTGGGTTTAACGTCGCTTTTAACAGTATTCCAGTTATATCGCGGCCTGTCAGCTTAATGTGGGAGGAAAGCCCGAAGTGATGCAGGTCTCAGAAGTTTACCACTTCCGAGCACGGGTATGGTGCTGACAAACCTAGAAACATAATCGGGGCGAACCGGTATTCGAACCCACAATCATAGGTTTCTGGCGTGCCCAGGGGACGCAACTCTGCACAGGGAATCGCGGCACCTTAGACGACTGGGCCACCCGTGTTCCCCTCTTGGTTTAGAACGGAAGAAGAGTCAAGGAGAGGCATGCATAAAATACTGACGTTCTAGATTAAGAAGTTATATGTTCATTTTGCACAATCACGTGTTTGGAATGAATTGTTAACAATCATGAGCTGATGTCCACCTCTGGACAATAACGAGGAACTGGAGGCCCAGTCGCCAAGGGCGCCACGATTCGTTCTCAGAATCCTTATACCAAACCCATGCCCTACGGTTTAACAAAACTTGGAAACATCTATGACCAAATCGAGCTTTCTCTGGCATTGACTTGACACACTGTGACATGACTGATATAATGTTCAAAGTTTTATTAACACCGACTTATTCCCTCTACACAATAATATTGCCATCTTGAGAAGTCTTATAGTCGGTTTGCTGCAAATAACTGTTTAACACCTTTTTCACTGTGGTGACGAGTTCGAACGGACAAATAAATAACTGTCATGCCATTTAAGACCTATTGTTGCTTTCGTAGTTATATATTATTTTGCCTTTAAAACGATTTTGCAGCAAACGGACTGTAGGTGGCCTGTACCTGAGGTTGCAACCGCTGTGATTGGCACATCTGCTTCTTGAGCCATGAATCCAAGAACTGAGAAGACGACTAATCCGGCAAACAAACTTGTTCCTCCACACACCAATGTACATATGACTGCATTCCTTTGGCATAAACGTCAATGAATAAAAATTACATGTTTGCTTGTTTGTTGTTTAACGCCGCCTTCAGCAATATTCAAGCAATATGACGGCGGTCTGTAAATAATCGAGTCTGGACCAGACAATCCATTGATTGACATCATGAGCATCGATCCACACAATTTGGATCGATGACATGCATCAACCAAGTCAGCGAGTCTGACCACCCGATCCCATTAGTCGCCTCTTACGACAAGCATAGTCGCCTTTTCCGGCAAACATGAGTTCCTGAAGATCTATTCTACCCCGGATCTTCACAGGTCAGTTACATATGTACTTTGTTAAAATTGTAGATGTTGAAAATATTTTTTAAAAATTATGATTTTTTTTCTTTTTCGAGTACGCAAACAATAAGTTTACAGAATATAGTTCACATGCAATCATAAATTCATACAAGTTTCAAAGTATATCTGTGGATAATAACAAACAAAAACTACTCAACTAGTGTCAGGATGCTAAGACATCTTTGTTGGATTGTGTAAGTTCGTGGGTTTACACGACTAGGTGGTGACAGAGAGACCAAACTTTCATGAAGTTTGTGTATATACATTGTGAATATGATATATTTCTGTCGATGTAATATGAATCGGTTATTTCTTGTTTGGTGTGTTGGAAATTTGGTAGGGAGTAGGACATGTTTGATTTGAATATGTTTTGCTTTGTTACCGTTATAATATGATGTAATGCATCATTTCGTTTTTGTTGATATCCTAATAGAATTGTCAATTTTGACAATTCTAGTTCTATTCCAGTTTTGTCCCAGACATGTTTAACAATTTCACAAATATTTCCCAATGGCGATGTCTTATGCTGTTGTTCCGATCAATACAGTTACGTCACCATGGAACATATTACCTTGTGAAGAGCATTAAGGAAGCCTTGTGGTTAAGGTATTTTCTGTTCCCGGCCAGGACCCTGGTTCGATTCCCCTCGTTGGTACAATTTGTTAAGCCTATTTCTGGTGTTACCTCGCAGTGAAGTGGAACTAACTAACCACAATAGTGTATGCTGTACTACCTTAGCAGGGGAGCTAATGGGTACATACAGGCGATTTAAGGTGAAATCAAACCAAACCCCGCATACATTTTCCTACTTATATTCATAATGGATAACCCCTAACTTTTAACTTATGGGTTCACTGGATTTCGCCAATGAAGTGTCGAGGTAAAAATAGAATAGTATCTGAAATAACACAAACTATACAGGTGAGCTATGTCCGATACTGAGTTAATTTAAAACTCACTCACACAATTATACTGATTTATTTGATTACAAATAAGATTTCACAACATTCATAACATTACCTAAATGAGTGAGTGAGTGAGTGAGTATGGTTTTACGCCGCTTTTAGCAATATTCCAGCAATATCACGGCGGGGGACACCAGAAATGGGCTTCACACATTGTACCCATGTCGGGAATCGAACCCGGGTCTTCGGCGTAACGAGCGAACGCTTTAACCACTAGGCTACCCGACCGCCCCACATTACCTGAGACAATTAGCATTGAAGTTGTTGTAGCTTGCCAGGGTAAGTATGCCGCCCCACGCTGGGCCAAGAGAGAAGAACACTTGAGCACAGGCTTCAAGCCATACCTGTGTTCATCAAAGGATTAACATATATTTTTTTATCAATAGAAATAAAAGCATGGCATCACAGTGCCAAGATCCATCTAATGAAAGGGTTTGATGTGAAAGTCAAACCATGTGACAGTTATATTGTTTTCATTCAGAATATAGTAAATAGACCTGTTCTTTTACCATTCTGTACTTGAAGTATCATGCTCAAGTACACTCTTCGAAGAAAGAAACGCACAGGTAGTATGTAGTTCATGGAAACTAACTACACACAAAAAAACGGTACATAAATTGGATATATGCTATTAGAAAATGTTGGTGGCCTGATATTCGACAAACGGTGCGTCAAAACGCAGCCAATGTCGATTTGCAATGTCTTAAACGGCATTGTGTTCACGCTTGTTCAAAAATGTCATGGAAGAAAACAGTTCAATTCACCTCCAGACCGTCCGAGAACTGGCCGACCAAGAGTTACCATCCCTGCACAGGATCGCTACATTCGACTGTTCCACCTACGTCATCGCAATGCCACAGCTACGGAGACTGTAGGACGCATCCCTGGTTTGAGGAGGATAACGGACCAGACTGTCAGGAACCATTTTCGTGAGGCTGGAATCCGGCCCAGAAGACCAGTCATCACCGCTGTTTTGCAACAGATCTATCGACAGCGACGCTTCCGTTGGTACCATACCTTTCAGCATTGGAATTTTAGAAATCTACCTGTGCGTTTCTTTTTTTGAGGAGCGTATGTTAAAAAAGATTTCTTAAAGATTTCACTTTTATCATATTGACAGATGAAATAGTTAGTTAAGTGTCCAAGAAGGTGATGAATATGATTGTTGTATCGCCTACCTGAATGTCCAGTAATTTGCTGAAATCTGGGGTCAGGTAAAACAGAGCACCATCAGGACCACCCGGCAAGGTCAGACCACGGACAAGCAGGATGGAGAGGAAAATATAGGGAAGTGTCGCCGTCACATAAACAACCTACAATAAAATAATGTCAACCATCTTCTTCATGTTGAGACCGCCTCCGTGGTCTAGCGGTAGACCGTCCGCCCGTAGAGCGGAAGGTCCGGGGTTCGATTAACGGCCGCATCATACCAAAAGACGTTAAAAGATGGTACTTGTTGTTACTCTGTCTGGCGCTCGGCATTAAGGGGCTAACACAAGGACTGGTCGGCTCAGAGTCAGTATACTGTGTCTGAGTGGAGTATTTATGTTCAACTGCGGCATTGTATCTCAGTGTGCTAGCACTATAAATCAGCAGTTGATTTTTTGGCAAACTCTATCATAATCAGTAGGTCTGGCCGCCATCGTGTTGATATCGTCAACCTAAGATTGATGCTGGCTCTAACTCGCATTCTGATTTGTACGTTTGATCTTGTAGCAAATTGGCTAAAGGGAATCAAGGGCGAGTAATTTAAAATCGCGAGAATCAGGGATCCAGGGCTTCGTGTTGGTTCACCCAAATGCGAGCCGTGGTGATTAGGGGATGCATTCAGCAATTCTCCAGTTACATGACTGGGGTCTGTCAATAGTTGAGTCCAGAGGACCAGAAAGTCGCGTAACTGGAATTGTGAGCAACGCTCCACGCCGTCGAAGAACAATTACACGTTTTCAACAAAGTCAGCGAGCCTGACCAACAGATCCATATGGTCGCCCCTTATAACCATTATAGGTTGCTGGTGGTCCACTAGTATTTTAACAGGGGAGGGGCCCAGTCATTTTATGGTGCTGCAATTCGCTGTGCAAATTAGGCACGCCAGAAGGCTATGATTGTGGGTTTGAATCCCAGTTCGCCCCGATTATGTTTCTAGGTTTGTCAGCACCATACCCTTGCTCGTGGGTTTCACCGAAATGGTAAACGTCCGAGACATGAATTACTTCAGGCTTTCCTCCACATCAACTTACCACGCCGTGATATAACTGGAATACTGTTAAAAGCGGCGTTAAACCCAACTCACTCACTCTCACCGGGGATCCCAATAGGGTCAAGGTTAGTAAATAGGTGTGAAATAGCCACAACATGGTCTGACATCATTCTTTGTTTTGTTTTTTTGTTTTTTTTTGTTTAAGATTACATTCAGCAATATTCTAGCTATATGGCTGTCTGTGAATAATCGAGTCAATCAGGCAATCCACTGATTGACATCATGAGCATCGATCTACGCATTTGAGATACGGTGACATGCATCAAACAAGTAAGCGAGCCTTACCACACGCTTCCATAATCGACTCTTCATATAAGACAAGCAGGGGTTGCCGAAGACCTGTTCTAACCCGGATCTTCCAGGTGTCATCATTTTAAAATCAAAAGAAGTATTAATACGTATCATGCAGCTAATTAATGTGGCTACTTCACCATTCTGTCAAAAGAATGAACCATGTCAACAAAAAGACAAAGCCCGTGAGGATCCGGGGTAGAATAGGTCTTCAGCAACCCATGCTTGCCGTAAAAGGCGACTATGCTTGTCGTAAGCCGCGACTGACGGGATCGGGTGGCCAGGCTCGCTGACTTGGTTGATGCATGTCATCAATCCCAATTGCGTGGATCGATGCTCATGATATCAATCACTGGATTGTCTGGTCCAGACTCGATTATTTACAGACCGCCGTCATATAGCTTGACTATTGCTGAGTGCGGCGTTAAACAACAAACCAACCAACCAACCAACCAACAAAAAGACAAAGCATCCTTTGTGAACATCAGCGTCTTACCTTTCCTACTGACCTGACACCTTTAAAAATACAACCGAAAATGAGGAGCCACGACACCAAGAGACACAGCACTAGTTCCCATTTGACGCTTCCTAGTTGATCTAGTCCTGAGCTGATACTGAGGACCTTATATCTGAAAACAATTTCAAGGAATGTTCAATGTTACCGTATAACGTGAAATTATTGCACTCTCATCAAAATATCAAATACTGTATTTGACATTTGATGTTTATGTTTCAAAATGGGCGCTGTTGTGAGGGGTAGTCTTCTGAAATACTACTTTGTCTGTCTTGATGATCACGCCTCGTTATCTCGAATGTCCGGATATCTCGAATTTACAAGCAAACAATACATCAGCAGAGGATCAACTATACACATTCTAAACAAACATATGCACATGTGACACGCGCCTATGACGCAAAACCAGTCAATGAACCATTGCAAATGAACATTTACAGTCGTCCTGTTTCAGGTCATAAGGGACCGGGGGCGGTTGGGTAGTCTAGTGGTTAAAGCGTTCGCTTGTCACGCCAAATACCCGGGTTCGAATGCCGACTTGGATATAATGTGTGAAGCCCATTTCCGGGTCCCCCGCCGTGATATTGCTGGAATATTGCTTAAAGCGGCGTAAAACCATACTCACTCACTCATAAGGGACCGACAACTCCAGAAGAAAAAAAGAAAAAAGTAAGGATGACAAAATTTGTAAGTGAGAAACCACTTTCCACTGTCAGAAGAAATGTCTGATATAAGTGGAGTCGATGGTACAACTCCAACTATATCATAAGCATGCGTTGAGGAATCACTATCAAATCTTGATGATACCAGGTGTTCCCGAACACCAGAGCGCATCCTCCCCCACCGGTGGCACCCGTTACAAATACATGCAAAGGCAAGTGAATTTTGACCTGCTACTGCTGCTTAACCATTTGTCTGGTCCAGGGTGTGCGACTGTGAATGTTGAATATAATTTACATTTCGGATAAAAACGACCGGGTACGAATTTATGAAAACATGTGACACTCTGTAAATATTCTAACCCGGATCTTCAAAGGGTGGTAAATGTATAATGTAGGATATACATTTCCCACCGTTTGAAGATCCGGGTTAGAATATTTACAGACCTCCGTCATACAGCTGGAATATTGCTGAGTGCGGGCTTAAACAACAAACAAACACATATGTCTACCTACTGCCAAAATTCTTCAGAAGCTGTGAAACGTTGTCTTGAGCTATTCCAGCCAATGCCAGCCCAATCTGTGGTCTTGTTGTCCGACGACAGTGTTGAGTTGGTCCACGCTGAATGTGAATGTGTAATTATTTCGTTTCATTATATACTTAAGTGTGACAATCCAGTCATTAACATCATGAGCATCGATCCACGCAATTGGGATTGATGACATGCTTCAACCAAGTCAGCGAACCTGACCAGCCTATCCCGTTAGTCGCCTCTTACGACAAGCATAGCATGTTTCGCTGAAGACCTATTCTACCCCGGATCTTCACGGGTCGAGTTGTGTAGGGGAACAGTATGATACGTAACTATGTGTACTTGATATTTGCAGCTTCACTCAGTGTAGTGGCAATGACGAGATCACTTTTAAGCAAACACGATACGCCGAGTCATGTAAAGGTGGTAAATTTATACCTGTCGATAATTTTATACTTTGGACACAGTGTTCCGAGTTCCAGGCGTTTCCACAGTGTGTCCAGGGCAGGACGGTTCTACAGGAGGAGGCGGCATAGTAAAGGGTCCAGGCACAGTGAATTGTGTACGAAGCCGCTCCCACACCGGAAATAACCATCATGCCAATTCCAAGACCTGACGCAGAGATGCTTTTTGTATATATTTTGAACTCTCAACGATCATTCTAATCTAATCTAATCTAATCTAATCTAATCTAATCTAATCTAAACTAATCTAATCTAATCTAATCTAATCTAGTAAGACAAGTTATGACTTGCTTGCTAAAGGTGTTAGGATCTACACCGAAACGTCGCACTAATTGTAACAAAGAAGTTGTTCATCCATAGAACTTGTCTTACTTCATCATACCAACTTCTAAATGCCACTGAAAGAAGTAATCTAATCTAATCTATTTGTCCCTGGTATGGTTGGAAAAAGAAGAAAAGGTTCGATTTGCAATACACGTTTATGCATTTGATAACTTTTTCACATTTCAACATTGTGCTGTCAATATTTCATTTCATTTAAAGAAGATACAAAAGAGTATTGTCCCTGGTATGATTCGAAAAGAAGAGTGAGTGAGTGAGTTTATGCTTTACGTCACATCGGCAATATTTCAGCCATATCGGGAAAAGAAGAAAAGGTTCGATTTGCACTACACGTTTATGCATTTGATAGAATTTTCAAATTTCAACATTGTGCTACATTTAAAACGTAAAGCACCGCACCTTAAATATGAAACTTCAACGCCAAAGAATAACTAATCTCGATAATCCGAAGAAACAGATTCTATAATTCTAGTCCAATAATGTCATTTTAAAGATTAATTTCTAAAGGAGTACATATACAAGTTCTCATAAAATATCGTTTTACTTGCATGTTTCGCTTGACAAGAGTTTTACCGACTCGTTTGAGAGAGCAATGATATATACCAAGATTCATTTCCATACAGAGCCTCAAGCACCCATAAGCATACCTTTCATTAAAGGGCATACACTCCATACTTTGGTTCCACTCTTCCCGCAAAATTGTCCAATGGCAACTTCCAGGAAGAAAAGAGGTAGGCCACAAAACGTCAGACACAGGATGTAAGGGATGAGGAATGCACCTATATGACATATACAAGACGTAAACATATATCAGAGCTGCAGATAAGCAGCGTATTTGCGTAAAATACCCCTAAAAAATATTCAAAACCCAATTCCTTTCAATTAACTTGCGGACAGAAACGCATACAATAAATGAAAAATACAAATGAAAAATGTAAATACCAAATGAAGCATTTTCAGCATGCGTACAATATTGCTAGTTTCCGAAACAAAAATACGAGCTAATTTACCTCAAAAAATTAAAATCTTAAAAATGTTCACTAATTTTGGGAAAAAACCAATAGGGTGATGACTAGATGAGTGAAAAAAATATTGGTTACCCAATGAAAAATGTAATAACCGAATTAAAATGGAAACCCTAGAGTAAAAACTCAATTGCTCAACAAGTTATCTGGAGCTCTGATATATTTCACTTTTTTCCGGAACACATGTTGACACAATGTGCATGACCATGGATGAGTTATCGTATATATACTGAGGAGCAAAAGAAACTATACCTTTCAGTTGTTTGTGTCAAATATTTGATTTTCATTTGAAAATATCTGAGGCGATATAATAGTTAAAGGATAAACTGTGCTGGCGCTCAGTCAGCACTCAAAAAACACTGCTACATGCTTTTATTTCTTTTAAATATTATTTGATTTAATAACAGTACGCATGTTACATAACTGCTGATAGGCATTAGACATGTTATCTTTGATGACATGAAAAACAAACCCGTGAAGATCCGGGTCTTCAGCAACCAATGGTTGCCGTAAAAGGCGACTCGCGCTCATGGGGAAGACTAATTCTTGCCTGAATGTCAGTTCAGTTCAGTTTTATTTCTCTGAAAAACCACCAACGGTGGTACAAGAGTATATATATATATATAAATTTACCCGTGAAGATCCGTGGTAGAATAAGTCTTCAGCAACCGATGCTTGCTGTAAAAAGCGACTCTGCTTGTCGTTAGAGGCAAATAACGGCATCAGATGGTCAAGCTCGCTTACTTGGTTGATATATGTCATCGATCCCAATTGCGTGGATCGATGCTCATGATGTCAATGGCTGGATTGTCTGGTCCAGACTCGATTATTTACAGATCGCCGTCATATAGCTGGAATAATTGCTGAGTGCGGCGTTAAACATCAAACAAAACAAAACATGAAAAACAACTCGGTATACTTTCTTTTGCCTCTCAGTTTATGATAATCTATGCTGTTTTACAGTGAAGACAAAACTATTCGACACTGTCAATGTTTATTGATAATGCTAAAGGCAGATATTATTTAACGTGATCATTAAACGTGCCAAGCGGTTGTGATGGCTGCGTCTGTATACCATTATGCACTACAATTACCTCCGCCGTTTTTGCTGCAGATGTATGGAAAACGCAGGACGTTTGTAAGGCTAACAGAATAACCAATCACAGACAACAGGTAATCAATTTGCGAGGCCCAGCTTCCTCTATGCACCGCGTTCCTTTCTGTGTGAGCGTCACTGTTTTGACGTAAGTCTGGCCTGGGGGCGAGTGCAAATTCTTCATGTTCTCTTTCGTCATGACAATCCATCTTAAAAATATGATATGTAAGTCATTGTTGCGTATTTGGTTTAGCCTTGTGAGTAATTCGTTCATGATATTGATTTGGTATCAAGATTTTGTATTGTCTTGATAAATGTCTTCATTACTCCGCGGGGCGGTCGGGTAGCCTAGTGGTTAAAGCGTTAACTCGTCACGCCGAAGACCCGGGTTCGATTCCCGACATGGGTACAATGTGTGAAGCCCATTTCTTGTGTTCCCCGCCGTGATATTGCTTGAATATTGCTAAAAGCGGCGTAAAACCACAATAACTCACTCACGCATTGTTCCGCAAAACATTACTTTGGTATCTGACATTTGTATGTAAAATGGCATAAAGTATAATTGTGTTGTCTTGTTGGTATAAAAAAAGATATAGAGAATATAAGTCCTCAACGCCAGAGAATAACCAGTCTCGATTGCACGACAGTTTGTATAAGATTTAATACTCGAACCGGAGGGATAAAACCGAGGGGCGTTTGTCCTGATTAAGGGTCTCCACAAGGCCGTTTGCCAAGAGTTGTTACCCTGTCTGGCGCTCGGCATTAAGGGGCTAAAACAAGGACTGGTCGGCTCGGAGTCAGTATACTGTGTCTGAGTGGGGTATTCATGTTAAACTGCGGCATGGTATCTCAGTGAGCTAGCACTATAAATCGGCATCAGTCCGGACTAGTACAAGCAGCCACACACACACATACACGTGCATGCACGTCGCTATATAAGTGCAATAATCTTGGACGCGACGTTAAACCCAATTTCACCTCACCTCACCTCACCGTTTGCCAAGAGGGGTGACTTCAACTTTCCAATAGTCGACTAGCTTCTCCAGGTATCTTCCAGTAGCTCCAGCTGTTTGTGTCTACATTTCATAGGTTTGGAGGAACAATCGAGCATGCTCTTTCCACCAAAATGTCACACGTCATGCTCAGAAGTTATTATTATTGCGGGGCGGTCGGGTAGCCAAGTAGTTAAAGCGTTCGCTCGTCACGCCGAAGACCCGGGTTCGATTCCCGACATGGGTACAAAGTGTCGATTCCCGACATGAGTACAAAGTTTGAGACCCGTGAAGATTCCGGGGTAGAATATGTCTTCAGCAACCCATGCTTGCCGTAAAAGGTGACTATGCTTGTCGTAAAAGGCGACTAACGGGATCGGGTGGTCAGGCTCGCTGACTTGGTTAAAGCATGTCCCAATTGCGTGGATCGATGCTCATAATATCAATCACTAGATTGTCTGGTCCAGACTCCAGACTCGGAATCTTCACGGGTCGCACTTCCTTTCACACGGAAACCTTAAATGCATTTTGTGGTGCTTATCACATACCTTTATGGTCTATCGCCAAGTCTTCCAACCACAAAGTCAGCACATGCCCTTTCTAAAATACAGTCCTCGTAGCGAGATAGAGTAGCTCGACAATTGTGGAATCTAACTGATGACAGCAAGCTGGCGCAAGAGGGGTTACGTCCACACACTGTATGAATAATGTATATTATTCATCGACGACAGATACTTGCTCTCGTATTTCTCTAAGCAATTATAGCCAGCATTAATGATGAGAAATATAGAATACTAAACGAGCTCCCGTGTAATACCAATTTTATGAAACGAGTGAATAGTTCTGGTATCTGACGAGCGAAAGCGAGTCAGATACCACAACTATTCACGAGTTTCATAAAATTGGTTTAACACGAGAGCGAGTTTAGTATTTTGTTTATTACTTGTCATTTATAATGTTTTTTTATAATTATACTGTTGAGTGTAAATAGGCTGACATAATCCAATTGAGTTTAACAGAATAATACTTCAAAAACTTCAAAAGTTGAAACGTATGAATTTAATATCATACAATGGTCCACCTTTAGAATTCAGGCGTTCGTCCCACAAAATTATCGTAGTGCTAAGGCTGTCACAACTCACATAATTTAACTTCTAAGGGTAACGACTGTCGTTGCGCTAGAGTACGATCGCCTTGTGGAACGGGGCCTTGCACCTCAAAGTTTACAATCACGTCACAATACCCGATGACGTAATTTGTTGAATTTTGTTGCAAGATCCATCGGCGAAACAATGCCATGTGACGTCAGCCTATCAACAAGGTTGCTGGGGTCATCGAGTGTGCATAAGCTCCTCCCAGTGATCTATCATCTCCACACACAATGCCGTTGAATAAGCCAAGGGATGTTGAGAGCTTTCAATATTTGTTCGTGAAACGTGTTCCGAGAGTACATAAGCACGCGTTTTCCATGTCCATTACATCGGGTCGTATTCTGACTAATTCACTCAGTAGAAATGTTTCTCTCTTGCAGTGGGATAACACTGTTTAGAAATGAGGATATCATCGTCATGATCACGAATTTATAACTATGTTTGTTTGTTTATTTGTTTGTTTGTTGTTTAACGCCGCACTCAGCAATATTCCAGCTACATGACGGCGCGGTCTGAAAATAATCGAGTCTGTACCAGACAATCCAGTAATTGACATCATGAGCATCAATCCACGCAATTGGGATCGATGACATGCTTCAACCAAGTCAGCGAACCTGACCACCCTATCCCGTTAGTCGCCTCTCACGACAAGCATAGTCGCCTCTTACGACAAGCACAGTCGCCTCTTACGGCAAGCATGGGTTGCTGAAGACCAATTCTACTCCGGATCGTCACGGATCGTCACGGATCGTCCGGATGTTCAAGCTTCTACATTTAGAAATAATAATAATAAAAAACATAGATACTGATTCCTGAAGGACGTAATTTAAACTCAATTTATAAAACGTTTTATTATGAAAGTATATTCCCCTGCTCTGTCGACATAATGAAATACTCTAATGCCATCTGATATATTCACTCAGAAAAAATGGAAAGTCATTGGCTATGTGATTTGGCATTTTGGCCCTTGGGAGATTAACAGATTAGTTTGGAACGGTATCAGTACTTGTTATATCTGGACAGTGTAGTTTCACGGGAGTTCGAAACAGATTACAATTGCCCCAAATAGGTGCAGAAGACTAATGGCATCCATAGAAAACACCTAAATAAGTACTGAAAAAAGTATCAATGTCATTTGTCTACTAACATGGAACTAAAAGCTGTAATCATTCTAGGAAAACATTCAGGCCATTAGTATATTTCATATATGTTCAGCACCTATGTTATGGCTGATCAGTATTGTATTTATTTATGCTAATGAAGCAAAACAAATAATGTTTTGGGAAATAATCATATTTTTTGAATATATGACATTTCATGGGTACCTATCACAAATTGAAATTTGATCAAGCAAGAAGAGGAGCTAGCATTAAGTAACCAGTTGTGTTTGCAAGAACTTACAGAACATGCCATTTTCTAAATAAGCAAATTAGTCAAATCTCAGAAGAATTTCATGGAAGAAGAATATCTAAAGTAAATTATGTTTCTGCAGTAAACCACAAAAGTCATCTATATTTGTATAGTCAGCGTCGGTGTACATAACCTGGACATTGTCACAGTGATGTGGCATAAATTCATTCAGACTTGATTAGTGTCGTAATAAAACCACCCACAGCCACACTGATGTGGCATTATTCATTCAGAATCATCACTTTCTGAGGTGAATCCGTTGGTTGTTCCGATCCGACGAGTCCCTTGTCTGACATGACTGAGCAGGATCTTCTTAAATGTAGCTGGTGTCAGATTGTGAAATCCAGGTACCTGAAACAATTTATAAAATATTTAGAAACTTGTTATTCAAAAATTAAGAAACATACATATATTGACAAAGGGTAAAAAGTTGTTTTCTCGAACAGTAAGGTATTGACAATTTATCTTCCAACTGATATTTAACCAATCTTTGAAAATGTAAATAAGCCATTGCAAACAGAAGAGTGTACAGAAAATACAAACATGTATAATTTAAAACAATACCTGTAGAGCCACAAGGCTCACCTGAATTTTGCTCGAATGTTTGCATTACGTCAAAGATAAGGAAGGGTAAAGAAGACACTGCAAAACTAAGTGACATAGGTTCTTATACACAAAAACAGAACTATTCATAATAATCAAAACTTTCAATCACACAAGTCATGTTTTTTTGGTTTGGTTTGTTGTTTAACGCCGCACTCAGCAATATTCCAGCTATATGACGGCGGTCTGTAAATAATCGAGTCTGGATCAGACAATCCAGTGATTAATATCATGAGCATCGATCCACACAATTGGGATCGATGACATGTATCAACCAAGTCAGCGAGCCTGACCACCCGATCCCGTTAGTCGCCTTTTACGACAAGCATAGTCACCTTTTACGGCAAGCCTGGGTTGCTGAAGACCTATTCTACCCCGGAATCTTCACGGGTCCACAAGTCATGTAAGTGATCTCAAAATACAACATAATGAGCCAGTGAGTTGGTATAGTTTTATGCAGCTTGTTAGCAATATTCCAGCAATGGGCTTACACATTGTACCCATGTGGTGAATCGAACCTGGAGTTTCAGAGAACGCTTTACCCACTAGGCTACCCTACCACACCAAATACAAAAGAAAGTACATTAGGATTTCAGACAATAGAAATTCTCACCAAATTCATTCATTCATTTTGGAAGCTATGTTAAAATTAAAATTTTGACAAATTAGGATGAGACTGTAGAAGTATTTATCTAAGTTATTATGGATATTTAATACCTACCATTAATTGGTAGTCCAACATAGACACTGATAATAAATTCAACTGAAAAGTACAACCTGAACCATCAACTAAAAACTATGTATATTACATTAAAGGGCCCGGTCATGTATTACCGATATGTTCTTATTCATTTTTGACACTACCCTCCCTGAAAAGAAAACGCAAAGGACTTCATATTTTATTGTCTATTATTTCATAACCCTCTCACATAAGACTCTCACATTTTTGGGTGACCCTCCCTGTTTGTTCTGATCTTAATTCAAATATTCATGGCAATATTCATGACTAATATCATTATCATATTTTTATCATTTATCCTATCATTTTTTTAAATTAACTTCATGAAGATTAACAATAACAGGTAAATCTGCCAAAAATATTGGTCTGGCAAAGTTTAAATTAATCATAATTTCTGTTATAAAGTTAAACAGTATTTGATCTATCGTCTGTTTCTAAATACAATGAAACCCAACTTTGACTTGCGTGCCATCATTGAATCATCTACCCCACGTTCTTTATGCATTGATATGCATCTGCACAGAGTGGTCAAAGTCCTTGTCTGACACACAGTGTGCTACCAGGGAGACATTAGTAACTGTTTGTGTCCAGCCAAACTGTCTAATTTATAAACAGGTTTCCCGCCTATGGCATAAACTGCACGTGCATGTCAGCTGTATAAATGCGTTCGTCTGCAGCGTATAACCACACGTGATGAAAGCACACAAGAATTGCCACGACTGTCACAGGAGCAGAGAGAGAGAGCCATCGGTATGGCCGAAATGGGGGCAACACAGGTCCAAATTGCCAGAAGGTTTGGTTGTACACCATTGACAGTAGCCAGGCTGATTCAACGGTATAGGCAGACAGGGAGGACACAGGACAGGCCTAGAACCGGACGACCCCGAGTCACAACTCTATTTGAAGACGGTCAGATACGGCTCATTCACCTGCGAAACAGATTCGTAACGGCGACGGCAGCAGCAGCGTTTAGACATCCCATTAACCAACGCACAGTACTACGACGACTTCGTGCTGCTGGAACCCGAGCGTATCGTCCTTTCCGAGGAATGGTACTGACTGCTCAACATCGACGCCTGAGGCTGCGATGGGCGAGGCAGGTTCGACGCTGGAAAGTGAGAAATTGGCGTCGAGTGATAGTCGGTTTAACTTGTTTCGAAATGACGGCAGAGAACGAATTTATCGACGCAAAGGGGAACGCTTGGCTGCGGCGTGTATTCGATAGGTCCATTCATTCGGCGGGGGAGGTGTCATGGTGTGGGGCGGTATGTGTGGAGATCAGAAGACTGATTTGGTGATCATACAGGGAAACCTGAACGCTGTGCAATACAGAGACGTTTTGCCCTGGCCTGCCCACTCACCCGATATGAATCCTATTGAACATCTGTGGGATCATCTTGACAGACAGATTAGAGCACGCTATCAGCCTCCCGTTAACAGACAAGAACTGCAGCAGGCCCTGAGAGACGAGTGGCAATGGACCCAGTCCACGTCATAAGAAGACTGACGTCATCGATGAGGCGGGTTATCACAGCATGCATTGAGACAGCTGGAGGTCATACACGCTACTGAAGGCAACTGTGTCGACAATGAACTTGCTGTGTGTCTGACAATTTTTTGGTCACATTTCAGACAACTTTTGAAAATGAAATTTCTTACCCCACCATTGTTTACCTTGAGCTTACATTACCTGTGATTGCACAATTTCATTCAAACTGTGGTTGATCAATCA